TACAAAATTTCCTTTCCATTAGAAGTGACATAAAATACTGAGTTGCCTGACAAACACCCCTCCTCATTATTGGTGAGGCATCCCTGGATTGCCATTTATGTATCTGTGGTTTTAAAAGATCAGAAACAATCATTGTGATTAAGGTACTGCTTCCTTACTGAGGTAGAGAAATGTGCTATAAATTGATATCTATTTAATGTTCCTCCATGGAACAATATCAACAACCTCAAGTCTAAAATAGCTTTTAAAAATATCAGTGCTCAATTTATATAAATAAGTGGTCATGACAGGTGGAATTTTAATGTTCAATTAAATACATTTTCTCAGAAGAAAAGTTGCACCCTACAAGTTCCATTTTTATGAGATTACCATCCATTTTTATTCTCACAGGAGGAGTGCTGCATCCAGGTTTAAAGAGAAGTAAGGTGCAAACCATACGTTAGTGTTTTGTTTTTAAACTAGAATCTGTGATCCAATAAAGCACAAGGAAGGAAAAATGCATGTTCATTATTCTGAAAGCCTCTCTGTTATTTTATCACCCACTTTCCTAATAGAATAGTTTTCCAGGGGTCCATTGTAATGTAAATACCTAGTAAAAAGCTCTGGTCTTGGTTGTACTTGCACTCAGTGTTAGCAGTACTAAAATTTACCTCCTGTTCCCTAGCATTTTAAGGAGGACTGGGGCATTTCATAACTCTCTGCGTGTGTTGACTTAGTCCCAAGCATTTGTGTTCAAGGCTCTCTGAGACATGCGGAGACAGAGAGCCAAAGGGTACACACACAACTTGCCCTAAAGGAGGCCACAGTCCAGTTGGGGGAACAAATTTGCAACTAATTATGAGCCAAACTTTGGAGTCAGTACTGTGGCAGAGGTATAAATAAAGGGGTAAATGAGCATAGCAGAAGGGTGGTTGGTTCTGCAGGGAGTGGAGAGTTGGGGGTGGCACAAAGCAGAATGCTTCACAGAAGGGCTGGCATCTGACTCAGCTCTGAAGGATGAACAGATTTTGGATAGGCAGGACTGACATGTCAGGACATTCCAGGAAGCAGGAACAGCTTGCACAGGGAGTTGGGATGGGAGGTGGGAGTCTTGGCATAACTGGTCAGTGTTATGTATGATGCTTGAGGGATGGTGGAGAAGGTAGGTTGTGGCCAAATCTTCCAGGGTCATAAATTTCACATTTGGGCAAGTGGATTTTAATCTTTAGCAGTGATCTGACTCGAGGACAGAAAAACCATCCCTAAAATCAATGAAGTCAGTTAGGAGCGTGTAGGAAATAACCCAAGGAAGAAAGTTCATATCATGTTTGTCAACTAGGGTGGGGGCAGTGAGAAAGGAAAGTGTAGATCCAAAGGCCCTGTAGAAAGAGAATGGAGTGGTCTGAGGTTTGTATTAGGCGTGGACGTTGAGTGAAAGGGAGAAGCCAGTGACTCTGAGGCTTCATGTTTGGGGGCTTGAGAGACTGAAAGACAACTCTAAAGATGAGCAGTTTTGCAGGGAAATATAATGATTTAAGTTAAGGATATGTGTTGTAGTGCAGTAGAAAATACAGATTTAAAGATTTCCAGGAGGTCTAAAATCTCAGTAGATGTTGGAGCTAGAAATATGGGTCTCAGGACCATCTCTTTCTATGAAGGGGGACACCGGGAGAATGAGGGACAAGATCACCCTCATTCAGAGCAAGATGAAGTGACTCAACAAGAAACCTAGAGGGTCATATCCAGTTAAGCAGTGCACTGTCTGTGTCCCTTAATCAATATCATATTGTCTTCTTTATCTAGTTTTTATTTTTCTAATTTGCAGTCTAGCGTATATGTAACTAAGAATAGAAATCTAAATTGATCCCTATAACACAACTAACAGCATAATAAAACTAATAAATAACGTTTATATAGCACTCTACAGTTTACAGAGCCCTTGCATGTAAAACAGGGGCAGAGGACTGTTTAAGGTCTCAGTGAAAAAACACTACAGCAACCCCAATATCTTGTGTGAGTTTTCCCCCATTTCTTGCTAGCTCCGCATATGGAATTATTTACTCCTCACCGCATTCCAGATAAGCAGGCTCTGATCCCCACTTTACACAGAGAAAGTCAGGGAGACTGATTGATTTGCCACACTGTCATCCCTGTTGGTGTATTAAGTGATAAATTAACCTAGACTTTCGTAATAAAATGATCTATTACTGTATAACAATTTACCCAAAACTTAGCAGCTGAAGCCAACAGTAAACATTTATCAACTCACACAGTTTCTCTGGCATGGCTAACCAGATGGTTCTGGGGCAGGGCCTCCCATGCAATTGCAGCCAAGGTGTCAGCCACAGCCACAGCCTTTGGAAGGTTTGACTGAGGCTGGCAGACAGACGGCTTGTGTGCCTGGCAAGTGGATGCTGACAGCTGGTAGGAGGCCTGGGTTCCTCGTCACATGGGCCTCTCCACAGGGCTCCTTGAGTGTCCCCATAACATACTATCTGGCTTCTCTCACAGAGAGTGATCCAAGAGAGCAGGATGGAAGCCATGATGGTTCTTAAGGCCCAACCTAGGGAGTCACGTTCCATCATTTCTGCAAAATCTTATTGATTACTCAAGTCAGTCTTAATCAGTGTGGAAGTGGACTGCACGAGGACACAATTACCAGGAGGAGAAAAAACAAGGGTCATTGGGAGCATCTTGGAGACTCACTACCATACCATATTATTGATCTCCAATACTTTCATTGTCAACTTTCAGGATTTATGATTCATTCTTATACAAATTAAAGACATTCCAAAGAGATGTTTGTCTTTAAACATTTTATAATTCAGGACTTGAATAGCATTTTTTAAAATTTATAGAGATGTTTGAGGCGTCTAGTATGCCAAACTTTGTAATCAAATAGTAAACAGTGGCTTGCCTAATAAAAAACTTAAATGAAGAGGTACCCCATCACACTTGGTAATGAATGAAGCCTTTAAATGGACTCTTCATGTCATTTATCTGTTTAAATCATTGAAATAAATCGTATAAAACAAGACCTCTGGAAATCACCCAAATGAACAGCATGTGCCATTAATCAAGATGCCAGTTAGATGCATTCGACACTCTTGGTGGCTGAATGAGAGAAAGGTTGTACATTTTCCTTCTTATATCTTAAGATTTTAAAAGACAGGAAGAGCTGGTAGAAAACCTTGGCTAAAGTGTACATGCAGCTTGCATGTGTTGAATAAACCCTCAGTATCTTGCTCCACCTGTGAAATGTTGAAAGCAGACAAGAACGTGATGGCCAGAAGGGCGCCCACGCTTATCCATCACAAAAGCAAGGCTCTGACCTCCACAGTGGTGTTGCCACACACCAAGACCCTCCTGCAGTTTCTCATCTAAGCCTGTAACCATGCTGACGTGGCCCATAGCCTAGCAGAAATGTGGGGTTTGCGCCCACTCAGGCTGTTGCCCTGTCTCCTTCATTTGCATGCTGCCAAATTTCATGAACAAGAAGGCGTTTCCTCAAGCTCATCTTCCTCACCACTGGCTACTCTTCAGGCTTGCATAGTGTCTCTTGTGCTCCCTGCCCCTGCTCTGCTAAGCCTGCTCTCTCTCAATATAGCCACAACCATGTGAACCCAGCAGATTCAGATGCTGGGGGTGCCCACCATACTTCCTCAAATTATCTGTGGCACATGACTCTGTGCTCTGTGGATCTCTGTGGATCTCTGCTGCTTCTGTCTTGTGGTCCTACATCATAAAGTAGAAGTAGCATTTTTGTTCTCTTGGTCACTCTCCTCAGCCCAGCCCTCTGTGCTGCCTGCCTTTATGTTCCCATTCCCTGCCTCAGCCGCAGCCATCTTCTCAGGACGGACCTTTTCCGCATTGTAATTTCAATTCGGATCCCTCTCCCAAACTCCATGTCCCTGTAACACTTCAAACTCAGTTAAGTCTAAAACTGAACTCGTCGTCCCCATGCCCCCATCACGTTTTACCATTTCCCCAAATTGTATCACCATGTCCAAAGTTACCTATAAAACCATTCATCTTGACCTTTCCTTTTCCCTTGCACTTTACATTTTGTAAATCCCTGGGCCTTATAAGTTCCGCCTTCCTACTTCCCTACTCGCATTGCCATACTTGGTCTATTACCTCTTATCTAAACTCTAGAATAGCCCTCTTCCTATGCAAAACTGTAGTTCCTAAAGCAAGCTTTAAACATGGCTCTTGCTCAAAAGGCCTTGTCCTACATAGCCCATACTATTTCTTTTGCCAAGAATCAATACTTTCCCGGTGGCGCCTGGGTGGCTCAGTCGTTAAGCGTCTGCCTTCAGCTCAGGTCATGATCCCAGGGTCCTGGGATCGAGCCCCGCATCGGGCTCCCTGCTCTGCGGGAAGCCTGCTTCTCCCTCTGCTGCTCTCCTTGCTTGTATTTCCTCTCTCTCTGCCAAATAAATAAATAAAATCTTTAAAAAAAAAAAAAAAAGAATCAATACTTTCCCTATTTCAAATTTCCCAGATCACATGTATCTTTCAAGGTCCAAATCAAATATCATTTTCTCCATAACTTTGTGGGCATCCCTTCATTTCTAAAATAATCACTCATCCTCTCATATTCTTTAAACATTTTGTACCTTTTGGGGCACATCCCATTTCATATTGTATTGTCTGTCCTTTATCTTCCCAAGCAGGTTGTAAGAGGCCTTGGTCTTATTTTATTCGGGTGTTTATCCCCACAGTTCATTCTGTGGGGATTTGTACCTTGTAAGTTTATTGTTGAGTAAATTACTCTTACTAACAAGATTTTTAAAACCCAGTAGCATATTTAATGCATCCTTATTTATTTTTGACTTGCATAAATTGGTTTGAGAGCATTTTTCACCCCTTTCAACTGTGCCCAGTCATCTCTAGAAGCATGTTGGACACAGCTGAAAGAGTGATTGTGTTTGGAAATTGCCATAAACTGGAGTTTCCTCTTAGTTATATCTTGTTCTCATGGATCCACTCTGCAACTGACCTGCTATTTCTCATTTCAGGGAGAGTGGAGAAGAAAAGAGAACAAAAAACAACTTCAGGTAAGATTTGATCTAATTAGTTCCAATTATTTCCTGTTTTTACTTTCACCTTTAAAAAAATCTATTTGTAGTTTAATATTCAAAAACTTGCATTAAAAAAGTAATAGTTTATGGTCCTACAATTGATTGTTATTAAATTAATTAAATTAATACATTTAGCTTTTTCACTTTCACATCAATCATGTCCTCATTCTATCATTCTGTTCTAAAGAATATAAGATAGAATGTGATTTTCTCATCATTACCAATTGAAAGGTAAGTCTTAAAACCACCAACTTTAAAAATTTCAGGTTGTTAAAAAAAAATTCAGGTTGTAGCAGTTGACATTTTATTTTTCCAAATATCTATGAATCTTAATTATTTTTCTTAAAACCATTTGTGGAGTTGATGTTTTTCAGGACAGTGTTGACTACTTAACCAAAAAGAATCTTTACATTTTGGAGGGATTTTAAGAATTATTCTATTCCTAACTTCTAGTATATATCCAGAAGTGAATGATGTTTTAACACAGTGCCATTGTGCATAGTAGGGGCCAATATTTGCTGACTAATACAAAAATAAGTTTTTAAATTTCCATATTTTTATTACTTGGCTTTTAACTGAAAGTCCTGAGGTAAGAGAAAATTTCATTTACCAAGTAAATCTTTGCATAAGGGCAATCTCCAGCTTCCCGTGCCTTAAAATTGCCAGTAATCCTAGAGAATTCGAATTTGACATATACACCTGTGCCCACCACCCCTCTCAGGTATCTACCAAACCATTATTCTGTAATATGTGAGAGCTGCCAACAAAAAGACACATGGTTCCTGACCACTGTCTTTTTTTTCACTGCATTTTTTGTCTGGTAGCAAAACAAAATTTGTTTGTTTGTAATGTGTGGAGTCAGTAAAAGATAAAAATATGAATTAATCAAAAAATGTATAAACAACCTATGCCTTTGTCCCTTTTCTCCTTCCCAACCTTAGTATTCATCTCAGACAACTGAGCAATGTACTACCTATACGACTTAAATGTTGTTTGCATTCTTTTAAAGCCCAGTCATTAATACAAAAAAAAAAAAATGTGAAGGCAAGAAAATGTTTGTTCTCCTCACAGATGTGATTACCTCCATAACTGCTCCTTGGGAAGATTATTTATACTGTTTCATAAAATGCTGTTGTTATGATCTTATAGGTACTGGCTTAAAGAAACTTTATAGTTTGAAAGAAAGCTAAACTGGCCACAGTGGTAAACCAGATGCCTCTTTAAGTTCCCTCTGTATTCATGGACTCTAATATTCTGTGTGACCAAAGGTGACATAAAGAGCTAGACAAAGGCAGGACAAGAACTCTCGTTCCTTGACTCATTCTTTCCCAGGTCTCATCATCCTAACCTTTCTTTTCAAATCAAAGTGCTAGTCACTTTGATACTATGTTGAATTTCTAGCTCGATAAAATATTTTTCAACAATTGGAAAGTCTTTTTAAGGCAACAAGATCTTTGTAGGGAACACTAGTCACCAGGGTTATGAGGAAACTCCTTTTATTAAAATGGAGCTAATCTCCCTCAACTGATTCACAGCTTGTCAGTGTGTCTGATTTTTATGAGAATGTGAAAGAAACTTTCTATGAGAAAGTGAAGTCGGAGATAGTTAATGGACAGTGCTCAAATTAGTGGGGAAATTTTCGAGACTCATCCTTTCAAAGAATACAAATTCAGCCCTCACAAAATCTGTATTTGTAAAGATAGTCTGAGTTTTCTAAATTGGGATCTAACCTTTGCCAATGTAGTCATAAATATCATTACCTTCAGTTTGTGATGCTTGTCTGAATATATGCATCTTTAGATGTCAAGAATGTCATGGGCATCCCTGCTTCTGAAGTCCTGCCAGGACTTCTTTGTATCGCTTGTTGTTCATTCTGCTCAGATTCTATGTCCTGCCTGCTGAATTAGACCATGCTCCCACACCCTCTTGTTTATAGCAGCAGGTCCATCTCCCAGCCAGGGAGATCAGTATTAGTTTCTGACCCTTTCAATCTACTCCATCTTGTTGCATGAATCATGATGGAAACCAAAGAATATAGAAAAAAAATATTATAGACAAAAATATTACCCATTGACAGGAACTTCCAGGACCCTCACTTTTTGGTTGGTTAAGATTGGTTAATTCTTTGTTTATGCAATCTTGGACCAAGATGAAAGTTACCAGTAAGTTTTTATTAAGGATAAGAAATAACTTCCTAACAAGGAAACCTCTCCAGGATTGGAAAGAATGAGATTATGTTAGTAAAAGTGTGCAGAGGTTGGGCCATCACCTGTAAGGAATGGTGATAAGAGATTCATGAGGAGTTTGATCATTCCTAAGGGCTTTCCGATTTTGTGTCTATGATTCTACTTACCATTATTACTTTATTGAAATGGCTCTACTATGTGTATCTGGATCAACACGCACAGACACACACACACACACACACACACACACAATCCTAAATTGTATACATTTCATGATATAACTGAGTGAATCATGTTCCAAAGCTTAAACTAAGTTAGTTTGGTGAGTTGCTCAGGAGAGCATATAGCTAATGGGGCTAAGACTATAGAATAATATTGTCCTATAGTCAATTAGCTTCTTTTGGGGAGAAAGTTATTTGACCCTGATTGCAACCCTGGCTGTAGTTTCAAATATGATGCTCTTCTTGATAAGCCAGGAATAAGTCACAAGAGAATATGTGAGAACCTGGTAAACTTAGACATTTTGGAAAAATAATTCAAAGCATATGTCTCTCAATACTGAGCTCAGAAACCCATTTCAAATTCATATAAAATGGTCAGCAAGATCAAAGCTAAATTTGGCTATTTGGGTTGGTAAAGAATATTAAAAATATATGGTGATATGATGATAAAGAAGCAAAATATCAAGAGGCAAGTTCCTGACATCATCAATTACCTATTTGCCCTTGATTTTTTTAAGGACCCAATTTCCTTACCAGAAAAACAGGAAAAATGACCAGGTATATTTCACAGATTTTATATAAAAACTCCATTTAATTTGAAGAACTTTAACTTATCAGAAGGAAGACCACTTTTTTGGATCAAGGAACTCTTGATATTAAAAAAAAATACAGCAAAAAATACAAAGAATTCTCACAGAAAAAGGTGATTCATAAATCATTGTTTAGAAAAAGATATATTAATTAGAAGGCTTACTAAGGTAGACTATAGAGACACCATCTGTTAAGTATATATTGTTCCAAATTTTTTAGAGAAGGAGAACACTTTCAACTCTAGTCAAGTATTAAGTAAAGAACAGTCCCAGTGGCCAGAGAATGGAGTTACAGATAGAGGTGATAATGAGTATTTTGAAATGAAGTTGCATACTTTTCATTTATGACATTAGATCATCCCTAAAGTTGGAGAGGTTTTGTTCATTTGCATTATTTGTAAAAAGTTACTGCTAAAGAACAATGTTATTTTTTTCTCAACTCAAAAGGTGAGATGTATTAACGAAAATTCAGCAAATGGTAGAACATCTGCTTTGCAAGCTCAGTCCCTTGCTTACTAAAATTTTGACTGTGCTTTTCCCTTCTTTGAAACGTCCTAAAGCATCAATAGCACCTCAATTTTAAAACTTTTAACACATATTTAACATGCAGTCATTCAGGATAAAAAAAGAATAGTTAAAAAGATACTTAATAAATTCTTCCATCTGTATAGTAATAGCATGTTCACTTTCTTATATGTTACTCATTTATTAAATGCAGATTTTCAAATGGATTCTTATATAGCATTTTTTCTCCATACTATTACTATTTTTGCAATGGTTCTTGTCTTGTTTCCTATACACTATTAACAAAACCCCCAAAAATAAGCATGAGGAGAGCTAATTTGTTATTGTTTTAATTATTGATGACCAACATTAAACTTATGAAGTTAGCAGGCAAATCATGTTGGGACAAATACATTTAAGTAAATTATCATTATTTAAAAGCCCATCATTTAAAATTAATGAGAATCATTATTCCAGTTAGAATCAAGTCTGAAAATGTATATCATCCTAATTTGCTTGTAGCTTACAAAATCTCTAGTCACTCAATAATCCTGTATTGTGTATTTGGAAGTTGCTAACAGAGTAGATCTTAAAATTTCTCATCATAAGAAAAAAAGGAAAAGAATTGTAACTATGTGTGGTGACAGATGTTAACTAGACTTATGGTGATCATTTTGCAATGTATATAAATATCAAATCATTATGCCATACACCTGAAACTAATACAATGTTGTATGCTAATTATATCTCAATTAAAAAAAAAAACAACTCTTCTCTTGACCCCATCTCATTTGGTGTCACAACATGGGCAGAGAAAGAATCTGACTAAGCATTTGTAAGTTGATACATTCAGTTTGCTAAACATTTTTGTGGTCCAGGCTTTGTGCTTGATATTTTAGATGTGACGGTGAATAAGATATAGCATTTATATCCTCAATTCATTCACTTTCAGCTGGGGAAGAAAAGCAAGGACAGATGATTATAATACAGTGTGAAGAGTGCCTTTAGAGAATTACTGGGTGCCATGAGGATGTCAAAGAAGGCATCATGGAACAGGGTGGGGGGTGACATGAGTTGATCCTTAAAGAAATTGGAGCTTACCTGGTAGAAAAAGGGAAAGGGCTGGCTGTCCAGAGAGACAAAGACAAGAAAAAGCTTGGCCTGTTGAGGGTACGGTCAGTGGTTTAATACGACCAGAGCACAGTTATAAGCAGATAAAAGGCAGGCATTGTGGCCATAAAAGTTGGCATGAGCCAGAATCAAGAGGGGCCATTATGCATTCCATGGAGTTGGGACTTTATGCAGTAGATATTGGAAGATAATGAAGTGCAAGGAATTACACCACCTATTTGCATTTTATAGAAATCCTTCCAGAGGAAGTATGGATTGGAAGAGGAATTCAGTGGGGGCAGGGAAATCAGGCCGTATGCCACTTTAATCACTTAAGAATGAAAAGATGAAGGTCCAAGGGGTCT